GAAGACGAGTCCCGCGATCACATATTACGGGTAGTAATACTCAATCATGAACTAGTAGCCCATGGGCAACGGTTAGGACTCCACGAGAGGTCAGCCTGCCGCCGCGACGCGGCAGTTTTCGCTATGTGCGCGGCGTTTGCATAGTCCATGAGATTTCCAACAGTCTGCTTTATTACTTGCAGGTGTGAAAACTATGAAAGGAGTAGGCCCGATGTTCAACTATTAGTATAAAACAACGTCCATTTACATAGAAATAATACTTATTGTTAGACAACACATCAGCGATCTACAAAATTCACTTTAAGGTGAATCCTTCTTCTGCCCTTGATTGTAAGATTGTAAGGGCCTAAGATTCGCGGCCAGACGGGAAAAGTGGTCGTATTAAAGAAATACAGCAATCCGTTGAATAAATACAGCTGCCATTCAAAAATATTGACGTCCCATTGAATATTCTGGTTTGGCAAAATGCCAAGCAGATTTGCGTGATGCCAGAACTATGTGAAGGGACCGGGATCTTAATCGCACGACTGTATGGGTCTCGTCCAATCACGGCAGCAATCGCCGCGCGCGGCGAGGCGAAACATGGCAGCCGTGACCTCTCGTGGAGTCCTAACCTACACCCGTAGCCCATAACTGACTCCCAAGTAGAGAAAGAAGCGAAAAAAAAACTATGGGAACACTCTGAACAGAGACCACTTTGGCAGTGGGCGCCTTGGACGAGTTGTCGGACGTCGGCAAGCCCATCAGCAGGATTCGACGTGCAACCATTCCCGGCAAGAGCACAGGAAATCACCCTACGACGCTCCAGGCAACGCTATGTACCAACGCAATTTCGCTTGTAAGCCGTTGGCTTGCAGAGTGAAAGTAATCGTGGTTGTAATGATCACGCGTCTTTAATTCTCTACCTCGCCGTTTCAAATAACGAAAGTTGGCAAGCACACGGATAATGATGCCAAATGCAAGGAGGCATTTCGCGAACCACTTGATCCCCGCGATGTCTTAACTGTCTTAAAGACACGAACGGATCTGAATCACTAGATCTCATATTTTCAGAGCACACACGGCCAGAGCAGTTCTGCGACGGGAGGGGGCATTTTGCCCTTTCTCTACTCACTGGTTCCGATTTACAAATCTCACTCTGATGAAACGTAATACTTGCGAAGCTGAAGTCAGCTCCTCGAGCTACCTTGGTAAACGGTATTTGTGTGGTATTCCACTACTTTACAGGTGGTCTCCAATAACTTTGGATGGTATGCTCTCGCAGCTTCACAAGATTTTACTGGTCTCCATGACTTCATGGCTCGATAAGTCGACGGACGCAGGAAAAGTGCAAAACCCCCTTCGTTCCCGAACTGCCCCCCCACAGCGTATAATCCGCGTGCGCTGCAATGGTAAACTCACTTGGCGGGAGAGCTGCACGGTGCTCCCACTTTCCATTTTGTCTCGCTTATTCGTTTGAGGCTTCAAGTCGTGTAGGCGGCCCTAGCTCAGACTCACTTATCTTTACTTGCAACAAACAAGTTGGATTCCACCTAATGCCCATTGAACAACGGAAGGAACCGGGTGTTGCTTGTCTATGTACAGTTTCACCGTTTCGCTGACATTTACTCATTTGCATGTTCAGCGTTGTTTTCCTGTATGCGCTCAGAACCTGCTGTATTACTGTATAACACCAAGTATTAACACCCGTACAGAACACTGAAGAAAAGCAAACAGAACACTTACGCGCACTGAAAAGAAAACGATTTGGCGGTTCTGAAGGCTTCGTTAGAGAACCTGCGAATTTTTATAGAACAGAAATCACCATCCACTTGACCTGAGAGCTTCGAATCGGCGCTCGAACGCTGTGTGAACGGAACATGCCTCATCCACCGACGTTGTGTGAAATTTGGTGTCAGTACGGGGAGTCGTGCAGGTCTCTCGATGGGTCAGGTCACCATAAACCCGAAGTATCGTTCTACTCAACTATATTTATCAAACTGCATTTCGACGAGTTATCTGGACCAAACAAATTCTTGGATGTGTAACTCATAAATGTCGAGACTTTATAGGTCTTTGAAAAGGTTATACGGCATTGTCGAAATGAGGAACCCTTAAAACCATTCAGAAGTCCTCTATATGTTCCCCATTCATATTGAAAGTAGACCGTAATGATCTCAGGCGGCAAAGAAAACCCATTTTGGCCGGATAACCTGACCCGGAGCCTTGCTACGCCGCCGTCAGTATGCCTTCCGACAGGGAGGGTCTTTTGCACACACACCATCCCACAGTACCTCACCCAAATGCTCTCAAAATTTTACGGTCTAGTATGGAGAAGGGGAAAATGTTAGTGTGGTGAGTACGACCCTCTGATGAGATCCACACGACGGTTATGTAGACTCAATATCCCAGAAATGAGAAGAGCGCATCTGCGTACTTCGTTTAAAAAGCATTTTTCATGGGATATATCCAACTGAGACAACTGTCACCTTGTCTTGTGCTGGATCGAGGCACAATTATTTCTTCCGAAACGAAAATATGCCACCGAAAGTGTAGCCTCCGCTACACTTCAACTGAGGGGAACAGCGCCCTGCCAGCCTTTAGGATATGGAGACAGGGTACAGTATCGCTGCGTGAAACACATAGGGGGGGGGGGGGGGGAAATCGGACGCTGGGGTGTCGTATTTGATCGCTGTTGGGAGAGGGCGTGTCGTATGTGGGTTTAAGAAATTCGCCGCGTTGGGAAAAAAATATCCCCGGTTGTTGAGTTTTCGCGTGATTTTCACTGTTTCATGTGTACGAAATAGTGCCCCTCAACCCCCCGCCTCGATGGAAATTTTGGGTGAAAAGCTGGAAAAGGCGTAGGTACGTGTGGGGAACGGAGGGTTTGTACCGAGACCCTCCTTTAAGGGGGGGG